CATAGTCAAAGTAAGATAAATGCAAGTTGCTCTGTTTCAAAGCACTACATGAAGTCCTATGATGAACATGGCCGACAAGGCTTCGTCTTTCCTCTACTCCCGAACGATACATTATTTCCAATGATTTCCAAAATGAACAAGTGGCACGGCAACTTTTAAAATATTTTCTTTGGCCTGATAATGTTTTGTGTTTATCATCATTCTTCCCTTAAATTTAAAGAATTGCTACATGTCTGATGGACCTTTCTTTTGACAACTGCTTTATCTCATGCTCTAAACAGTTACCATATTCAAAAAGAAAGATTTCAATCTCCCTTCCACAGAATTTCGCAAACAGGTTCATAGAGTCATAACAGCTTCCATTTATATTCTCGATGTTCCTGGATATAGTCTCAGAAAAGTCATCTGCTGTCCTGACTGAGATTTCTTGCAATTATTTGCATATAAACCAGGCAGATGAAACAGTCATAAAATAATTTTAGAATCAATTCTCGTAACTTAACCTAGAATAGCTTGTGCGATGAATGGTAATCCAATAAAGATGAAATGTTTTTATGAACAGCTAGTAGAACGGGGATTACATTTTTAATTTTACTCCCTAAATCTGTTTTGTGAAACACCTGGTTTATTATTTTACATTCCATATTTGGTAGCTTAGACCAGTGTTTCTGAACCGAAACTATACTGCAGACTGGTAAAATATGTCTACCATGGGCCATCAACATTACAATTCGCAGATATAAAATTCTTAAACACGCAATAAATTTTATTCTTGCCATCTGTTTTATTTATTTCTTCAACAAATCAAAATAAAGTACAAATCAATAATGTGATTGCCGTGCTTTCTCACACATTAATTTTTAACCTTGGAATCAGCCTCCCCCCCCCAACAGTTTTAAGAAGTTGTAGATCTTTAGTAGTTACAAGTGTGTGGCTCGGCAAAAATGTACTGCTAACTGGCAGTTGAGAAACACTGGTATAAAGGCGCCATTCACTGCTTGGGTGAGCTTTGTGAAAGTAACAAACAATTAATAATCACTTACCAGAGGTAGTAGTGCATATAGTTTGCAAGCAAGTGTAATGGAAGATGGAGTTGGTCCTTGCTCACAGTATATGATGGTCACTTTCTCTTAACTTCTCTCTTTCTCCCTCCCCCTCCTTTCACTTATCATTAGTATAACAACTGTCCAGCTACCACATCATGAGGTCAGAACAGTGCACAAGGGTGACCAAGCCATGAGTGGCTTGAGAAATTGATATAGTTGGTGCAGTATTACATTTGTTGGCATTTAGGAATTTTATTTTGATAAAACTAGACCAATTAAGGGTTCATGATAGAAAGTACCACAAGATATTCTTATAGTCATGACTGTAAGGTGTGTTAGATTTTGTTTGAGACCATGTTTTGTGGAGAGATAAATTTTATTGATAAGGCATACTGCTTGTACAGATACATGAACATTGACAGAACACTAATTATAAAGGAGTTTTTATTAATATGATAGTGATATGAATTCCCTTCTTTTTCAGTTATGCAAATTATAATTTTAACCCTGTTATTTTTGTTTTCTTGATGATTTACAGAGTTTGTAATATATTTTAATTGGTTATGTTGAACCTTTAATATAATTTTTATCCTTGTAGCACATAGGCTTATAAATTTAAAATACCATGATTCAATGAATATGATATAAACCTTGGAACTTTTAATAAGGAGAAGCTATACTGTCTACTCATTCTTAACCTTGGCACTAGATGGGGTGAATGGTCATGACTGTGCTTTACCCCAGTACACAATGGACTGGAGGCTAGGTGGGCCCCAGAGCCAGTCTGGATGCAGAAGCTAGAAGAAAAATCCTCTGCCTCTATTGATGATTGAAACCTGGTTGTTAGTCTGTAGTCAGTCACTTTACTGACTGATAGTAACATGAGGACTGATTATGATCATGCCATTGGTTCAGTGACTGCTAAATTTACAGCTACATGTTGTGAAAAGCCTAAGGCACTCTTCTAAACACAAACACATTTCCTTGGAAGAAAGAACTTTGAAAGATAAATTTTGTCAAATGGTCTCAAAAACTTAGTAATTTCATTATCACGGATAATTTAATATTTTTTACATTCTAAAATTAGGATATCATAAGAATTGCTAAAAAAAACCAGACCTAATTCAAGACTATTTTAAATTAACATAAAATTGCACATTTATGAGTTGTGGAAACTTGTAGTGAATGCATTTTGAAACTTTGTAGATTCCAAATCAGAGTAAAAATTTTCACTTTTATTTAACATGATGATGACTACTAATTTAACTAGTTAAACCACACGACTGTGGGGCTGCCACCTGGACCACACATAAACTGTGATGCACAACTAGTAAAGGTTAGTGCTTCCATAGAATTATGCAAAATGCTTGCTAAAGTTTCCATTCTTTTTCCCACTCAGTTTTCAGCAACTTCCAATCTTCCCATCTTTAGGTATTGCCCTTGTTTTTATAAATCATAATTTTGTATTCTGTCAAGAGTAACTTAAAGTATTCATATTCTCTGACCCTTGGAAGATTGCTTCTGATGTGAAAAATCTGTTATCTTTTCTCAGCTTCAATACAAAACCATTCAGTAATCTTGACAATGTATTTTTATCACTACTGTGTTACTGTTACATAACATATCTGATGCTGATTAAAGTGATTTATCGTTCTATATCTTGAAGGATCAAGTTTGACTTCATGATTGCTTCACACATATACCAGTTATCAAGTTAGAGGTAGAGTTTATCATTCAGAAGGTACACAATTTAAATTTTGGAATGGAGGCTAAGGCATCTTTCTTGATATTCATAATTTCATCCAGGCGAATGCTACAATAGTGTCCTAAAATAGGCCATGATTACTTCCTCTTTCTTCACATAATTGTCCTAATTTTCATTTATAATTGCCCTGTACCTCATTAAATGCTACGCCAATGGTAAATGAAACGGGATTGTAGAGTAACCATATGTATTTTTCAAGCAGATGTCATACAAAATGTAGGAAAGAAACTTCTTCAGATGCAATAAATTTCTGGGAATTACAGTGCCTGTGACTTCCGCTTTAACTGAGGAGAAACTGAATTATGTAGTTTCAAATTTATTAAATATGTTGCATTGGGATCCACATGCATGTATGCGAAAGATCACAATTAAAAGCACTGATGGATGTGTCCATCACCGTATAAACCATTGGCTGTGCATAATGTCACAGAAATAATATTTTTGTGATACTTGGTTCTTTCAGACTTTCTTAACCTCAAGTAACTTTTTTCACTAATTAGGCTTTCTGGTTATCGTGATGCTTAATATGAAGATGGATTTCTTCTGGATTATGGTTCTGTGTATTTGGTAGAGCGTTTTCTATTTTTCAGAGGTGACTGCTGCTTTCATGATCAGGGCACTCATTGACTTGTGCATCACAACAAAGAGCTGAATACAATACTGTAAGATCTACAAGCTAGTGACTCATAGTCATCTCCTATCCTACCTACTTTGTCACATTTATCACTCTGTATATTTTGCCAGTAGTTTACATAATGTCAATACTGTTAGGACACTTGAACTTATTCATTATGGATTTCATTTGTTGGGTGTACTTGTATGGCATCGTGTTGTTTAGATACAGCGTTCAAATTAGAATCTGGAGAGAGGATCTCCTGAAGTTTATACTTATTTTCCTGCAGTCCCTCTAGAAAAATTTGTAAGTTTATCTTAATACAAGAAACATATTTTCTTTGCTGGTCAAGTCTAGGATCTATGTAGCTTATATAATAGAAAAAGCATCATGAAATAAACATTATCAGAAGTTCAAAATGGGTGTCTTCTTGGTTATTGTGGTGTGTAGTCCGGTAGAAATTTTCAGATATTTCAGAGGTGTTTGCTGCCACCATCATCAGCGTAATCATTGCTCATTTTTCCTGAGCAAAGGAATAAGTTATGAATCCAATCAAGGTTATTAGAACATTTCATTTTATTTACTGTAACTCCCATGTTTTTATCAGCACATTGGTTGTTTGCTTTGCTATTCCTCAGCTGTGAAACAAAGGCTCGTCATCATTGATTTAATTGTTTTATTGTGTGTAAGCCCAGTTTAATGATGTTAGTGATCATTTCAAAATAATAGATAATACAGTATCAATAAATTGTGGATACTCTATTTCCCTCCTGCTTCAAAGATAAATAACTCTTCATTTTATATTTACAGATTTTGTGTAATTCTCACTGTAAACTACAATTATTTCCTTTTATATTTAAACATCATTAACAAGTTGTTTTTTGTAATGGTGAAGAGTAGGTTTTCTTTATGGTATAAACTTAATTGTTAAATATTATTTAGGTGAGTTTTGGTTTCAAAGGGCTAAAGTGTACCCAGAAAATTGATGTACAAGTTATAGGCCAAGGTGGTGGCGAATTCACTGGTTTTTACATTGTTTTATGTTGGAAGACACAATTATTTACAATTTGATAGGTTGACCAGGGAGCCCTTTGACTCCAAGACCTGTGACTCGGAAAGTGGCACCAGATTCTGGGTACGCTTCCTTCTGTCCTTCATTCAAGAGAATATTTCCACTGGTGACATAAAGTTCATCAAGTTGTGGTCCTCCAAAGGCAACAGATGTCACTTGTGGTGTTGGAATAGGGATGCGACTTAACAGTTTCCCACTTGCAGGATCCACTCTAATCACCTAAAACACATATAGACAGGACCCATATGATACTTTTACTGATAAATTGTTCTACTTGAATATTTGTAGATAAAATATCTAGATAAAAATATCCGTAAGAAATTAACATTCACTAATTTGAACATCCAAGGTTAAATGTACACTGTTGTCATGTGACACTGCAACCACCATCAAATTACTTGTGATAAGAATTAGTAATTTAAATATTTGTATCTTCCAAAGTTTAATGAACTTGCTGATACCAGTAAAGAAAAAAGAATAAATGTAGGACCATCTTTTTATCACTTATATGACAAGAATTATACATCCAAATTCTGCAACATTACATTGTAAACTATTTATACAATGAATTATTCTTGGGCTTCCAGCCACGTCAAGTGGTTAAAAGGAGAAAACACCACCATTTTGAGAATGATCTTCGTCATCATCCTCAAGGTACTGAAGTTACTAACTTGGTGTTTTCTTCTTTCAACCACTTGACATGACTGGTAACCCAAGAAGAATTCATTATACTTAGTTACCATGAAAGCTTCAGATAAAACTATTTGAATAGCTTGATACTATGTTAGTCGCTTTACCTGACTCCCTCCAAAGCAAGCAACCCATAGTTTTCCTTCAATATCAATAGCCATTCCATCTGGAAATCCATCGACTTCATTTATCTCAAAATCAAAGGCTGTGCGTCTGTTGGCTGAAAATGAAAGTGATGTTTATATTAGTATTAATATAAATATGTGTCGCCCTCGGTGGACTAGTGGTTAGCATGCTTACCACTGGACCCAAGGTTCGCGGGTTCAATTCCAGCCGAGGTCGATGGATTTTTAAGGGTGATAAAAATCTGTAGCACAATTTCCTTTAGAGGGGACAAAAAGCCGGCAGTCTCATGTCGTAGATTTACAGCGTGTTTAAGAACCTCACGAGCGCGAGATGTTTCGTAAGCAAAATTCAGCGGCCATTTCTTACCCAAGTCTCTGGTATTTAAATCAGGATTGAGTAAAAATTGTGCAGGTCACTCATTACTCATAAATGCACACTTCAAGACCAAGAAACCTCTGAAACAGGAGGCGACGAAAACCCACAACCGGTTTGTAGAGCCAAGAAAACAAACAATATAAATATGTGATTCCATGTATGTCTTTGCCTCACATTCATGTCTGGCTTGATCAGTTCTGTTGCTGAGAACACACAGGTTTTAGTTTGGTTGTTTTATCATTAACTGCTCTTTTAAACTTTTGAAACAAGTAGTTCTAGGAAGAACTCATAAAGCCTACTTTCATATTGCACAAACTTCCAATCCTGCAGACCTTGTGTTGTTATATACTAGGTAATGTTAGTTTATAATTCACTAATAAAATGCAGTTTCATTCCTGAGTTAGGATGTAGGTGGTCATAAGATTAACTCCTACATAAGTCGGACATATTTGGTTGGTTGCAATTGTGACTATGCTACACACTCCTCTAGTTGTTGTTAGGTGTTCTTACTGCTCTACTATGAGTGAAAAACATGTTATGGACTTGTCTATGTCTGTCGGTCACATATTTCCTAGGAGGTAGGTAGGAGACCTGCTTGACGAGGGGTCATTGTTGCAGATAATATTTTCATTGCTGTTCCATTTGTTGTTATTCCTTGTCTTTGGCTTCACTATGTTGAACACACTTGTTGATGCTGTGGTACAGAGTATATTATTCAGGCCTCAGAGAGAGGACTCAAACAGGGCTAGGCCGCTTCCAGGGACTGAATCCCTTGGGAACAGACCCAGGTAATACCCCTCATACCCAGGCCATTCCCCAGCATGCTTGCTTTATTGGAGCCTGAACCCCTTGTGTTTCCTGTTTTTGGAGCTGTGTTACTCAGGCTTTCTTTCCTACCGGCAACCGTGACAGGATCAAAATAATCCCAGAGGCCGGGAGGTGGTACAGCATAGGATTATCACAGGGGTTAACCAAAATACAAAATAAATCCACTGCCAAATTACCAAAATGTATTTAAAAAAATATATAAATTCAAAAGGAGAACAAACTGACACAAATCCCTCAAACCTCCCAAGGCTCAGGCTCCAGTCGGGGTAACGACTAGTTACATCAAACAACCCAAAAAGCAGACCTATCTGTCTCCAAGCTTTCTCTCTTCGAATCGTTCTCTGCCCAGTGGACACACACAGACTACTAAAAAATATTGTTTTCAATTTGTAAACTATAAAAACTTTGTGGTCAAGAGTTATGATCATATCAGTGATTCAAAATGGAAAGCAGAATACTTTTGAATTTGATATGATTATAGTAATCTGTGAATATGATAAAATTTTGTATAGTGAGAAGGAGTAATATGATTATAAATTGGATATTAACATTCTTATAGAAATTTATAAAACATGGTTACTTACTAATTTTTCCACTTTCAGCATCAAAGTCAAAAGCCTCGACTTTCCTTGTTAGGGAATCAATGTAGTACATTAAATTTAGGTGTTCATTCCAAGCCAGTCCATTTGCAACTTTTATTTTTGTCACATGTTTTGTTGGTTTCCAATCCTTAGAGAAGCTGAAAAGTGACCCAACTGGAGGAAGGTCAGTTATCGAACCTGTATCTGGGCCCAAAGATCCTGTTAAGAAACAGAATGATGTCTATTTTATAAGCTGAAGCAAGATAGAAGTGTACATGTGTCAGCTATGCAACCAATGTTACTGAATAATGATACAAGTGTATAACATGCGATAGAAATCAAGCTTCCTTCACTTTTGTATACATCTGGAATTGGCGCCTTCTTCAGAGGCCTGAAGATATGAAAATTGCTTATTTAGGGTTCACTGATGATCAAAGTACATGGTAACCATTTCCTTACCAAGTTATTTGCTTATGGGGACTGTCGATGTTTCTACTGCATTCTGGATTTCAGAAATTCTGTTGAATCTTGATCTCTAATAATTTCACCTTAGAGAATGTATTTTATTGCATGTTCACCTAACAAATTCAGAAAACCAATGCTTCTTGGAAGTGAGTAATGTGGGGGAGTGGACAAAAGAGGCCATCTGCAAATCTATTAGAATGCTACCCTTTTAAAAATAATATTATTACTGTTGAAAGGTGACTGTCAGTGAATTTACCACACTAAACTACATCATTATAAATGAGTGTTAGAAAATTAAGCTGTGAACTTCATGTGAGATCATTATGCATTTCATGATTTTAAAGATTATCTTATTAAACCCATATTGTTAATATATGATTTTCCATTTCATATAGTATCAAGTTGAGTTCATTGCTTGGTGAAGGCTACTATCAGGAATTTCAGCATTGTTTTATTATCTACATTTGGAGCATTAATGACTGATGAATGAGTGCCAAGCTGATAATATAAAATACATTATATAACATGTATCATATCAAATATTTCCAGACTTTTAAATTTTGAAAAGCTAGGAAAATGTGAAGTTCAGAACAGGTAGATACATTTATATATTATCATATAGTGTGAATATTAATTATTAATAACTGAAGAATGGGTCGCCTAAGTAGCCTAAGTAAGTACTATAAATTCAGTGCATATTAACAGCATGTTATGCATGATACATCTGGCTTCATTCCATACCTGTCCAGAGTCGACCAGTAGGATCTGCCTTGCCATCATTTAGCTTATTACCCTGAAGTTCTTTTTCATTGTCAACAGCACTAACATATTTCACATCTGTAGGAGTGCTGCTTTCACCATCCCATGTCAGTATAGCAACATTACGCCCTACAGTAATCACGAACTTGTCTTTTGTCCCTTCAAGTGGAATGACAAGTGAGACATGGACACCATCTGAAAGAATCATAAAAGTGGAAATGACTAATCATGCAAGACATCTCATACATCATATTGATTATGTGTTATTTTTCCATGCGGTTCAGGATGGGCAGGATGAGGTCAATAAACCTAAGTATTGGTATCACTGATTTGACTTATGGCCATATTATTTAGCAGGACTGGATTATGATTTTGGGCAACTCAGAATGTTCTTACAAATATTATTTAAAGGATTGTCCAAACATTTATACAAATTACAGTGGCATACATATTTGAAGGATTATTCAGTAATTTAAAAGAATTTAAGAATAGGACTACATGGTAAATATTTTGTTGGAGTTCCTTAATGTATTCATTTTCACACTGATCTGTATAACTGTCATAGAAGCAATAATTGCTACCAAGTCTAAAAAGTGATGTAATGAAGACCTCTGTATAAATGTACATCGCTGTGGAAATTAAGATTAATTTTATTTCTGGTTTTGCAGGTATGTGTCAGCATTTCATGCAGTGATTTTAAGGTTTTGAGGTGATTCTATCGCTAGTTTTATGATTTGTCGTGATATAACTTTTGCCACCCTATCCCAGCGACCCTTCTATCCAGTGGTTACCAGGGACTCAGTCCCTAGTGGTCAAATGAGCTGAATGCTCACTTCAGTACTGGAGTTAAGAACACATGGAATTTTATTTCCACTTTATTTTTAAACTGTATAATGAATGATATTGAATGTAAAGAGAAAAGTGTAGCAGAGGATCATAAAAGCTGGGGGGAAAGAATAGAAACATTTATTATGAAGCAGAACGTTTCAAATTGTATCAATCTGCCTTCAAAGCAGAAGAATACATTAATGTATGATGTAACAATACTGTAGCAAGTGAGAGAAGTGTAAGCTGAATGCAGTCATGCATTCCACTTCAAAACCACAGTTTCCATTTATATTATTTTTGAAATTTTGTACCTCATCCATTTTGATGTTCATTTATTGCATTCACAAATATACTGTTGACATAGGTAATCAGTAGACATATATTGACTGCCGTCATGTCTTCCTGTTCAGTGCCACACACACTTTAAGATTTTGGGAGATTGGTGTGTCCTTGGACAGATAATGGTATGATTTTTGTTCCTGATGCTGTGTCGTGAGCATTTACATAGTACATCTTCTTTACATTTTTGTTTATTGACTAATACTTCTTTATTATGGAACAGTAGTGACACATACCAATTTTCACTGCTGTGTGTTTATTTGTGGCTGGGACATACTTGTGGACTGTAGGGCCTTTAATGTCAACATAATACAATGTTTCAGCATCGTGGTCCCAGTGAGGCCCTTCGCCAAGGCTCACAGGTGCAGATATTTTTTCCACTTTGGGTCCAGACATCTTCCTGCTTAATAGAACAGACATTAAAGACAGTTCTGACATGTAGTAATACACCAAAATTGTTACTACTTTATGCAAGTATTTTGCTCAGTCTAATTTGTTATCTTCATAGTATCTGTTGTTCTGTGACTGAGTTTCTTTTAATGCATTCACTACTTTGGATTAGCTGTGAAATTTCTCAAGATCAGAGTGGTCCTGATATGAGCATATACTTTTACAATCTGAACAAGATATTTTAGGTATAATAAAAAATGTAATCTTGTCAAGTAATTGAAGCCAAGTCTCATGCAGTCTGCTAGAACTTCTTTAACTTTAGTACTAGGCTGCCCAGGCAATTAACCCTGGTGCCCAAAGTCATAACATGGCTGGCTTCAGTCTGCTGATGCTATAGATGTCAAACAACTGAAGAAAACTACTATAGTAACATGTAAGTTATTTACCTGAAGATGGCTAAATAAGGTCAGAACATGTATATCATCATCATAGCATAAAAATGTGCTTTTTGTAATTAAACACTTAAAGGAGTAAGCAGTGCCAATAATATAATGATTTTTGAGTTGCATAATGACTGATGAAAAATACATTTTTGTTCCAAAAAAGTGCAACAGGATGGTCTGTTATTTTGTTTCTTGTGCAGTGTTCTGGATACAGCTAGTGATCGAATTATATTCAGAAGCACAAACTAGTATAATTAGAGGCTTAGTACAGTGAACTTGGGGAAAACATAAGCAGGCTTAAATCTAAATATCATGAATGTATTTAAGCTTGTTGTGAACTAAGTTAACCTGTTTATTTGCACTAGAAATTAGTGATTCTGTTTCTAGTTTCTGCAGTAACTAATGTAGCTTGCATCTTCTGTATATGTCCTTCACTTCATAAATAAGAAAACTCTTCTTTGACTAAGTACAGTCCATAATCTTTCCTGATTTTTTTTTTTGTGAGTTTGGGTGATTGATTGACCACATATGAAAACATTTATAATCAGCTTGAGCAGTTACTGTTAAACATTTTTACAGAAATGTTTATCAAATATCATCTCACACCATGACATTTAAAATACATGAGTGGAGTGATATTTTGAACTTTTCTATATCACCCGCAGGTTTACATATCTTTGCATGTTTGTGTACAGCAGTTACTAACATTTATCATCTGCTATCAGTATTTTGTTGTTATTTTATTTTTTCTTGAAGCTTAACATGCAGTTTTTTTTATCACTTATGTAAGAGTGATGGTTTTATCATGGATGATGACATAAGAAAGTCAACTGGATTCATCTGGATCAGGATTGGGACCAGTAGCAGCCTGTGTTAACAGTAATTAATTATCATATTTCATAAAAGGCAGGAAGTATTTTGCTAGCTGAACAAGTACTGCTCTTTGGAATAAGTCAGATATATTCATTGTTCTTAATTTATTGTCTCTGTTGTGTTTTCAAGTTGTGAGTGTGTTTTATCATCTTAAATGGCAGTAGGTCACTACAGAGTATATTTTTAATTGTGAATAATGGAATTTTGGTTGAAGTATCCCTTGAATGAAATGGACGTGGGAAGATAATATTAAACTAGACCATATGAAAATGGATTTAATGAAGTGTATTGACCAACTCAGTATTGGTTGATGCTGATTATCGGTATTTGTAGTATCTTATGATCAGACCCTCATACTTGAAAATTCTTCAGCTGAGATGTTGACTCCTTGCTCCTTTTGATAATAGAGTTCTCGTAATAAAGGAATATAGTAAATTTAAGAGAGCAGTGCCATTTCTTATGTTGTAAAATGTAGCTAAATCTTAACCTTTATTGGATGAGAACATGATATATGAACTTACTGAATTCTGGGGCTGCTGGCTGAATTCAGAATTCAGGGTTAATGGTTTAGCAGTATGCTGATGTGATGCACAGTCATCAGAATTGTATGTAAGCTATAATGCACAGATAATGAAAGTTAAAACTTAAATACTCCTCCCCCTCAATGTAGACTGTGTAGCACACCACACTACTGTCCACAGATCACGAGAAAAACCCTGCTGAGGGAAGTCGTTTCTGGTGCGGTGCAGGCGGAATGTTACTTATTAGCTGGACTAGAGGGCTGCTATTGGTGGGAAGTGTGATATATCAGAGTTTTACACTACTACAACAGACTGAAAACATCAAGCCATTACGAGTAGCGTGTAGTGAGTGCACCTCTAATGTGTTCTGCGGGTGTTGCGATAATATTCTAGATTAAATCACTGTGCCGCTGTGTGGTAATCTTAAAGCTGTACATATTAGAACACATGAAAGCCTGTCGTCTGTTGTTCGTTCAGTGGTTGTGGAACGAATGCTTTTAGGATTGGTCATCACTCACCGCGAAATCTTGTGCATGCGCGTATATCGAATTCCTGGCAGGGATTTTCTCCTGATCTGTGGACTGTAGTATTTTACTGGGTAAACACTAATCCATTTTTCAGGTAGTTAAGTGCTCACAGGAACTAAGATTCCAGTTGGAGTAGTTTAGTTAGTATAGTGTCTGACTGAAAAATTCAAATACTTGGGGACGACACTAACAAATCTGAATGATATTCATAATGAAATTGAGAGCAGATTAAATTCAGGGAATGCTCGCTACCATTTAGTCCAAAATCCTTTGTCCTCCCATCTCATATAAAAACTAAGCATTAAAATATAGAAAGGTATAATAATGCCAGTTGTGCTGTATGGGTGCAGAACTTGGTCTCACACTTTGAGGGAAGAACATGGATTAAGGGTCTTTGAGAACAGAGTGTTGAGGAAGATATTTGGACCGAAAAGGGAGGGAGATGGACCATGGAGAAAACTGCATAATGATGAGTTTCACAGCCTCTACTCCTCACCTGATATTGTTAGGGTGATTAAATTGAGGAGGATGAAGTGGGCAGGACATGTGGCATGCATGGGGGAGGGGAGGGGTATTTACAAGGTATTGGATGGGAGGCATGATGGGAGGATACCACTGGGAAGACTAGGCATAGGTGGGAGCCTGACATTAAGATGAATCTTAGAGACATAGGAATCGACAGATGCAACTTGCTCAGGATAGAATCTGGTGGCAGGATTTTGTGAATCGTTAATGAACCTTGATGATGGGCCTCTGCTTCTGTAAGACCCACCCAGCCTCCTATCCAGCCAGGCTATGACACTGACCACTCATCCCTATCAAGTGCCAAGGTCAAGAATGATTAGGAGCTGTACCGCCTGAGGCCCCCCCCCCCGAATTGCCTTCATTGTGTTTACCGGGGACATCTTTGCTTTTTAGAAGCTTAGATTTAGACCCTGTGCCATGTGAAATTTGTGGTGAACATATTGACAACTAGTGCGAAAATTAAAGAAGTGTTAACATTTTCTTATCACGTTATCTGGCCCCAAAGCATATCATAGGTCTGATAATCTGACAGATAGGCTTGTTATTGAATATCATGGAAAGAAATATGATCCCTAAACCCGAGAACATTTTTCATGTTATGGGAATGGTCGCCCTTAGTTGACTAGTCTTTAGCATGTTCGCCACTGGACCCCAAAGTTCACTGGTTCAGTCCTGGCCGAGGTCAATGGATTTTTATGGGTGATAAAAATCCGTTACACAATTTCCTTCAGAGGGGAAGAAAAGCCGACTGTCCCATATCATAGATATACTGCATGTAAAAGAACCTTATAAGCATAAACGAGATATTTCATAAGCAAAATTCAGCAGCCATTTCTCACCCAAATCTCTTCAGATTCTCTACTAGATGGCTCTAGCACACAAATCAGAATTGAGTAGAAATTGTGCAGAGGCAGTGGGCTTGTCATTCACTACTCATAAATGCACACTTGAAAGACAAATAAACCTCCCACATGGGAGGAGGCCAAGGCTCGGCTTTAGGCTGTTGTGCCATAAAAGAAGAAGGGAAGAAAATGTTCCACTTTTAGAACAATATGTATTCCATGAAATTTAACCAAGATAATATATGGTACACAGATTTTTATACATCAGACATGTTTCTGTAATAACAGTTTATTGTATGAGGACAGAAAGAAATGATATTGTGACCAATGGTAATAGTCAGTACATGTTTGTGGGCTTAGTGGAAACAGCCATAAATAAAAATTAGAAGATCACTTACCAGAGGTGATGAGTGAATGTTCTTAGGTGTGGAGTTTGCTAACAAGTGCAATAGCAGGTGGAGATGGTTGTTGCTTTTATTGCATGGTGGTCACTTGCTTTCTCCAGTGATGTTCTCTCCTATCGCTTGCTTTACTCGTCTCATTAGTTTAACTGCTGCTTATCTACTAATGCACATGGTCTCAGTCAGTTCATTACTTGTGGCTCATGATTACAAACTGAGTGGCTGGATCAACTGAGGAATAGATAACGTGTTACTGTAGTTGCATCTTTCAATTCTTAATTATATTTGAGTGTTGAATGGGTTCTATAAAAGAAAATATAATGTTCTCCATTTAACTGTATAGTGGTGGTTGTAAGAAATCATGTTATATGAATGTATTTGCTTAGACTAAAGAATAAATATGTGTTTAAAAGTTGGATGCTGCACATTTAAAAAGGCATGCAGACACACAAACTAAAATATAATGTAAATAGTGAAATACTTAAAGTTACCTCTTAGTATGTCAGTGGATTATTGCTCTGAGATTATTACTTCCTTTATTATCTATCTGCATTTTATAATTAACTTAGGTAATTGTGGTTTCTTCTTCAGAATCCTTTTGGGTAACTGCATGTTTGTGTCTGTCCATCCTTTCCATTGATGTTAGATTTTAATTTCTCTCTTTTTATAAACTTGTGAAAACCAACATCCTGTTGAGAGACAATTCATCTTGATACTTTTTAATCCATATCCCTCATAATATCAGAATGGCTGTCTTGCAAATTTCCGAGGTGAAAAGTGTACTTAATACCATTTAACTTAAATTTTGTACTAAGTTAAATCATTGAATAGCTTTGTTTTCTTCAGAGGATGCATGGTAATTAGAGGTTTTTGATTCCAGTCAGATTACGGCAACAGAGGAATTTTTTAATACAGATTAGAATACAATACAATAAAAATTACAGAATGGGGATTTGTAAATTTGAAGTTCTCACATATCCATGATTCACTGCAATGCAACTAACTTTACCAAATTTGTACAGTATTCATTCATTGTGTTTCAATGATGGAGGTTATGTAACAGTTAGTTGTAAATAATACATTGGTTAACCCTAAAATAACTAGATGGCTTACGGTACCTGGAGGTTCATCACCGAAATAACCAAATCCCTCCACTGGTCCCTGTCCTTGGCCAGCAAAATCCAGTCACCTTTAACTCCTATCTCTCATGGACCCTGCTTGATATTACACTGCCATATATGTCTAGGTCTGCCCAGCTGTCACTTCCCTTCAGGTTTCCCAACTAATACCCGGTGCACACCTCTTTCCCCATCTATGCGTGCTGCATGCCCCGCCCATCTCATTCTTGACTTAATCACCTTGACAATATTGGGGGAGGAATACAAATTTTGAAGCTCATCATTATGCAGTTTTCTCCATGCCCCATCGTCTGCTCTCTTAGGCCCAAATATTCTCAACACCCTTTTCTCAAACACCTGCAACCTGTGTTCTTCCCTTCGAGTGATATACCATGTTTTGCACCCGTGTGAAACAACAGGCAAAATATTTTTTTTATATATATTTTAATCTCTAGGTTCTTAGAAATCATATAGGAAGATAAAATATTTTGAACTGAGAAATAGCAAGCATTTCTGGAATTTAGTCTCCCCCTAATTTCCTCATGAATATCATTTTGACTTGTTATTGTTGTTTCCAAATATTTGAACTTTGTCACACTTTTAAAGGATTTATTAACCACCGTAATATGATTTTTCCCACCTCTCTGCTGATAGAATACTAACATGTACTTAGTTCTTTCTGAATTTCCTTCTGTCCCCACCTTTGTACTAGCTTCTAGTAAAACTTCTGTGTTCTTCTTTATTGCATTTATATCGTAACCCCTAAAATAGATAAAATCATGGATAAATGTGTTATATTTGTATATATTATGTGGTGTCATTGTGTTATCTTGTGTGGCCTGTGGTTATGAGCATGGGCTGGTGGTAGTCCAGTGTCTGGGAGTGGTTCTAAATAAAATATATCAAATTAGATGTAGGAAGGGAGGCAAAGTTGAAAAGGTTGTGTGAAGTGACTGCACTTGTATGTGAATAGACATCACATATAAAGCATTTATTTTCCATTTTTAACAAACTTTTTCTCAGCATAAGATGCATAATTTCATGATTGGCTTGGCTTTCATTCAAGTAATTGCAGCTAGATGTCGTGAATGCCAATTGTCCCCTCAAACTATTTCAGCTGTCTAAAATGCTTATGAATACTAAATTTTTCTACCTGTGATATATAGTTCATTTATAAAATGGTTCAGTATGTTTAAGTAATGACATCCCTGATAGATTGATTTAAATGAAATGCTCTTTTTAAAGGAACTTCTCAAAAACTTTCTTATGATGGTTATGAGTGCGGTGATACTGATAAAATTGGTTTACATACGTTTAGTTATAAAAGCTGTGGAAGTTCTTCTGCAGTGTCAGGAAAAAACATTTGTAAAGCTCAGATTTCAGTTTCTCAAAGTGGTGGGTATGAAGATGACTGTCTTCTGGCATCCTACAACATGTGGTCTGGTATAAACTGCTTGATGTTTCAGATGTGCTTTCTGCCTCCACCATCAGGGCAACCCCCTGATAGTGGCGAAAGTAAGCAACTCTGAAACTTCAGTAACTTTCTACCAAACAGCACTGCACAATATTCAAGACGACAGCTAACTCCAGATTTGTAGAGTATGTTATTCTGTGCTAAGGTTGTAAGGTGGTTAGCGTTGAAGATGTTGGATTGTGGTGTACATTGTTACCGATCGAGCTTCTCGTGTAGGCTGCGACTTTGGTTTGATACTAACTGTTACCGACAGATCGCTTTTATTATAAGTTCATAGCTGTGGTGCGTTGCCAACCGTTCTGTATGTTGATTATCAGTTGGTAGCCGTGTTGTACGGAAGTGATGTGGCAGATGAGTTGGACGTTAAACCGGCTGAGGAAAGGAGAGCAGCATAGCGTGAGGAATATATTAAGCAGATAATTAGTAAGGAAAATCTGACGTGCCATATTTAATTTTTATGAGACATAGGTCATTGTGATAATTTTTCTTTCGTTTCGAATAGAAGTACAGGTCGCCTTCACGGAATGTGTTGGTTGTCATAAATCCATATTCAGTCACATTTTGTATTATGTAACTATAAATCTACCTGTTTGTATTGGTTACCTGATCGTGTTACATGGAAGCATACCAAAGAACTTAGAGCTTTTGAGTAATAACGGGATGTAGAATCATAGCTGTACTTCATTGTATTATGGGACAGTGAGATGTATTCAGACTTACAGATTCAAGCTCCTGTGTTTTACTATTCTCAAAACTTGCCTTAGCTTACGATTATTTTTTATGGATTGTAATAGTTGGAATAGGGGACCTAAAGTTTATAATGGGCTCCATATCATAACGAAGCCATATATCTTACTTTCACATTTTTTGCTTTCGTTTGAGGTTGGCAAATACAAACTACACCAGATGTGGTTGAATCTGAAATATGAAACATCTGGTATGGGACGTCATTACCTTATTCTCGGACTGCTATATTTTCGCATAAACACTCCTTGGCCTTATAACTTAGTTTTTGCCTTAACCACATGATGTAAAATCTTTCCTAATTTATATTCAGACAAGTGGTAGAATTCCTTGGTGGATCATAGTGTTTCTAGGCCTCTACCTACACAAATATGTGATTTCAACCAGTGATTACATTGCATGAGCAATTAATAAACATGTGCACCTTAGAATGCATGGCTCCCAGGTTTGGTCTAGTCAGTTTTGTGTTCATACAGAATGTTTAAGCTAATCAGTCATAGATCATGGACAGAAGAAAATCAGATCATCAGGAAGTTTACAGTTTAAGAATATGGTGTAAAAATGGTGTAATGTGATTTCATCCCGTGACGTCAGAGTGATAAACCTTCTACGATGAATTTCTACTTGTAATTGCATGAGCAATGATGAGGCAGAATTTTCTTTGATTGGTGAAATAGATCACACTTAGGACCTAGACAGTCATAAGAAAGCTTTATTTCTGAATTTTCATTCTTAATAGTCGTAATTGCAACAACTCTTGTTAAGTTTACATACCAATCATGGATTTAGTTATAACTAGTAGTGTATCTGGGGGAGGGTGTATTTTGAAAAATATTAGATTAAGATAACTATTCTGTTTGCACAAGTTTTGGCTCCTTCATAAAATCTTTTACATAAAAAATTTTAATGAATAAAATTCGGGCGTTAAATTTTCAAGTTATGATAATGATGACAGAAGAATATCCATGGTTTGTGCATGCACAGATTTGTTCAACAGGCAAACACTCTGAAGTATGGTCATTAAATGCCTGCTTCATCTTTGTTTCAAATTCTCTGTTTTGACAACTGAAAAATTGTGTGTCAGTTTACACTTCTTTAGTGCCATAAATATATTTTACACTCATTGTAAATAAATGTATTTTCAAGGTGCAATGTACATGTACTGTTCATGAATATGTGACAAGCCATTGCAGAAAATGATTTTGATAATCATTGCATGATTTTGCAGAGGCTTGGTGGTGTGCCCATCTTTCTTGACTTTGTGCCCCTACAGCATATTGAATCCATACAAAAATATGAGTTTGATGATATCTAACCTATGATGAAAATTTGTTTTATTTCTGTACATACCATACATTTCCACATCATAAATTAGGGAATCCATTCGGACACCCTGATGATGGAGGCAGTAAGGACCTCTGAAACATTGATAAACATCTACCAGATTACATTACAACCCAGAAGACAGCCATGTTTGTACCTACCACCTAGAGAACCTCAAGTCCTACTTATGACAGCCCTAGTATTTGCTTTATTCCCTCTTTTAAAAATCTCATTTTTAACTGTGGTTATTGTAAAAGAAGACAGAATTGTGTAATATGTCTGTCCTATTTATTTTTCTTTGCCTGTCACTGTGGCCACCCTTAATAAATAAAATAAGTGTGTTTCTTACTGGACTAAAAAGTTATCTAATGGCCATCTCGTGTATTTCTTATGAAACAAAATTGTGTTTTGGGAGGAATTTACTTAAGTACTTTACTGGAAGAGAGAATGTAAAATTTGTCAATTAATGTCATTATTTC